TGTGAACTGGTTTGGCGACTTTAACGAGCGGTCTGTATGCAGGCATTAGCATGACAGTGATGTGGTCTGAGGCACCGAGGTGGGGGAGGGGTAGGGCCTTGTAAGCTCCTCTCTGGGTGGTGTAAACAAAGTCCAGAGTTTTGGATGGGTTGGAGAAGAAGATATTAAGGAGATGGGGATAAACAATTATAGATGTATACCAAGAGTAATGTATCCACACAACCCCTTATGGATTCTTCCTCAGCCAGTATAGATTTAACATTACTGAAGATAAGACAGAGAGAAGGAAGTAATGAGATGGAAGTAATGAGAGCAAAGGAGTATTTAGGGCTTATGTATGGAAATAATATACGGATATACACAGATGCCTCCAAAAAAAGAGGGAGAGTAGGAGTGGCAGTTAATGTGCAGAAGCTCCCGATGAAGAAAAAAGCTAGAATAAGTGATCAACTGTCAGTATATACAGGTGAATTGATGGCTATTCTGCAAGCAGTACAACTAATTAAGGAAAGAGAAATACAAAATGCGGTCATTTGTTCAGATTCATATTCAGCAATAGTCATTGATAACCAAAAATCTGAATCACGGCCAGATTTAATCATGGAAATCCTTCAAAATCTCTTTGAGTTAAAACAAAGTAGAATAGAAGTACAGTTTATGTGGGTTCCAGCCCATGTGGGAATGAAAGGAAATGAAGAAGCAGATAAATTAGCTAAGCAAGCAGTAGATGATGAAATAGTAGAAATTGAGCTATCACTTAGTATAAGAGAAATAAAATCAGTAATAAAGGAGAAAGTGATTAAAAAGTGGCAACAGTATTGGAATAATGAGATCAAAGGGAGACATTTATATGCAATACAAAAGAAAGTGGGAAAAGGTAGAAAAAGTGGGAGAAATAGGAGGGAGGAAAGTATAATTACAAGACTAAGAATGGGACATACAGGTTTGAATAAAACATTACATTTAATATCTAAACATCCAACGGGATTGTGTGAGAAATGTGGACAGAGTGAAACTGTAGAACATGTGATTATTAATTATAAGGGTTATGATGAAGAAAGAGAAGTGCTAAGAGAAGAAGTATGGAAGAATGAAGGAAAAGAGTTAACATTAAAGAATATATTAGACTCAGATATAGGAAATAGTAGGCCTACAGTAAATGTGTCGTTTCAGTTTCTGTTTAATGAAGAGAATGTAGGATAAGTATATAGAGAGGTAGAAGATGCTGATATAGTGTGGGTAGAAGGGAAAGTAGCCTATATCTGAAGGTTAAATAAGGATACAGTGGGATATTGGGATTTAAAGGGAATTGGGGTGGAAACTGGAGGAGCTGAACTCGCAGCGCCAGTGTTAAGAGATAGAGGTAATGTTTCTGATCCAAGCTACCTGATGGAGGCAGTAATGCACTGTTAAGTGCGGTTGCCAGTAAAAGAAAGAAAAAGAAGAAGAAGAAGAGAGAGAGAGAGAGAGGTTGGAAGCAGGGAGTAGCAGGACTTCAATGTAGGATAAGTATATAGAGAGGTAGAAGATGCTGATATAGTGTGGGTAGAAGGGAAAGTAGCCTATATCTGAAGGTTAAATAAGGATACAGTGGGATATTGGGATTTAAAGGGAATTGGGGTGGAAACTGGAGGAGCTGAACTCGCAGCGCCAGTGTTAAGAGATAGAGGTAATGTTTCTGATCCAAGCTACCTGATGGAGGCAGTAATGCACTGTTAAGTGCGGTTGCCAGTAAAAGAAAGAAAAAGAAGAAGAAGAAGAGAGAGAGAGAGAGAGAGGTTGGAAGCAGGGAGTAGCAGGACTTAAGGTATGTAAATATGGACGTCTTATTTAACAACATTTCTACGAATATTTCCGGCAGAACTTAGTATTATCCCTTGAACTCGCTTACAAGCGATAAGGAATTAGATTTTTCCGCGGCAGCAGTCGTTTCCAAATTTTGGTGGACTCAATGGCTGTCTCAGAACCGGGTGAGCTGCTTACGTAGACAGCATTTTGGGACGTCAGTCGCGTTTGAATGTTTTCCGAAATGCTTTCTAGGAAGGCAGCGCACAAGGTTTCGACACACAACCGATGTTAGCTTCATTGCTAGTGACCACGGAATTGCTAACTTCCCTGAGAATTGAGACAGTCAGCCAGTACATTTAGAAACGAACCAGAAGATTTGCAAACTCTATTTGATTATACATAAGATACAGTGAGATTAACGACGGCCACCTGTGTGACACTATAGTTTTAACTAATACAAATGAGTAACATGAACACAGCAGCACATTCACTTGCCTGAGTAGTTGGTGTGAATATCAGTGGCAGCCTTTTATGTACTGATGCATGTAGTGTACAGTATATCTTAAAGTAACGTTTAGATTTTCTGATAACGTACATGTTTGAAAACCTAGTGGGCTGCCTGTCTAGACAGCACTGTAGTCATCATACCACAGCTCATTAGTGGTCTACCACTTGTCAGTATTGCTTTCCAGGTTTTCAGACAGCATCATGTGGCAGTCATGTGATTCAGAATTCCAGTAAAGCTTATGTTTTTACAACAAAGTTAACTGCAACACACACACTCAAACTGCAGGATTGACTCTGGACTAGAAGGGCTTTTTGTTACTTAAGCAATGGGTCAAAAGGGCTAACCACCTTCCAAAAGGGCTAACAAAAGGGCAATGGGTCAAAAGGGCAAATTGCAACTGGAAACAAGCACTAAAAACACTGAGACTGAGAACTAATACTTTTGCATGAATATTTGCTTGGTTTCTCTAGTTTCTCTTTCCTTTCTTAAAGTTAGCATGAAATGAAAATTCACCCAATCCATTTTCTATTTTCTGTTCTTATTGATTTTTTTTATTTTAATATTATCATCATCATTATTATTATTATTATTATTTTGACTTAAATTTTAATCCAAAAATATAACTGGACCTTCCAGTGAAGCGACAGACTTCTTTCAGGTTACATATGCTGGACTTCTCCAATCATGTAGTCCACTTAATCTCCGTCCCTTTCTTACAGGTCACTACAAGCTCTTCATCCAATCAACAACCGGATAGAACCAAGACCCCGCCCTTCCTTTTTGCTTTTTCGATAATCTGTTGCATTTTGGATGTACAGCACAATACAAAAGAAAGATCTTTCACTACTTCCGTCTCTTTGTGACTTTAATGTACGTTCATGGTCTTACTTCATGGAAGAATTTATAAGTTTTGTCTCTCTCCTCTGTTCACCTCCTTTGTTTTGCCGAAAACACTGATTAGGCCTGGATTTGGTGGCTGGAAGGAAGGAGCAGCGTGGCATCCCTCTCCTCCTCTCATGTCCCCTCCCTGTGTGTCCTTGCATGTCAGTGTCCCCTCGTCATCCCCCCTGTGTCTCACCCCACCAGCCCTCTGTGTTCCTCCCCCTCATGCTTGGGACAGACTGGCCTCACTGTCAGACCAATGACTGCCTGGATAGTACTGCCTGTCAGCCTGGCTGCCTTCTCTATCACTGGGATATGGATAGTGTGAGTTTAAATATGCTGCCACCCACGACTCAAAGATATCTTAAAATGCATTAATTAACTATTGTCACATCAAATAGTTTTTAAAAGTTGAAATCAGATTTCTTTGTTTGTTTGTTTGTTTTTTCAAATATACAGATTCAGAATTGGGAAGTCGTGGCCTAATGGTTAGAGAGTCGGACTTGTAACCCAGAGGTTGTGGGTTCGAGTCTCGTACCGGCAGGGAATGTAGGTGGGGGGAGTGAATGGACAGCGCTCTCTCCCACCTTCAATACCACGACTGAGGGGCCCTTGAGCAAGGCACCGAACTCCCAACTGCTCCCCGGGCGCCGCAGCATAAATGGCTGCCCACTGCTCCGGGTGTGTGTTCACGGTGTGTGTGTATGTTCACTGCTGTGTGTGTGCGCACTTTGGATGGGATAAATGCAGAGCACTGTACATACATGTCACGTACATATAAAATTGCAAGTATATAGTGTTGTTTTGCTGTGTCCTCAGATATGCTATGGCTGTAATGAACCACCATGTTTGTCCTGTTGAAAACTGGTAAGTTGGGCTTGTTTCACTCAGTTTATTTAAAACCATATGATGTTTATGTAATTTGATAGTCAACTCTATTATTTTAAAGGTCGTACAATGTGACATGCACAGAGGAAACAGCCAAGCCGGGCTTCCCAAAAACATGCTGCACCATTCAAGACATCCCCCTCATCAGGTAGTCATATACACCTTTATTTTGAGCTCTTCCTCTTTAGTTTGAGTCTGTTTATTTCCAGTATGATCTGACAATGTCTTTGTCTAAACTTTGATTCAGTAAGTGTGGATCTTACCCTCCCGAGAGCTGTCTTTTCAGTCTCGTTGGTAATGTGGGAGCTTTCATGGGTAAGACTGCTTGTTCTCATATTTCCACATATTCTACACCAGCATTGACATATCGAATAACAGAGAAGAAAAGCATGAATGGAAGCATTCAGAGTGGCAGAAGTGTTGCAGAAACAGATACCTGCATGAGACTTACAGACATGCTACTTATTGCGTCATCTATATTGGATGTTTTCCTGTGTTGCTTCATTACGTGTTGTGTTATGAGTGAGCTGATATGTTGCGATTACGTGATTAGGGGTTTGATTGTCCTGGTCTTGTTGAAGGTTGGCTGTCATCTGCTTCTATTTGTGTTGTGATGTGAAATCAGGGGTGTGTTATTACACACTTTTACACACCATAACTTAAAAAATAAATCTTATAAATGAAAAAATAAAAACCATAAGATTTGTGTGGGCAAATACAGCTAAAAAGTAATATATAATGAATATACTGTGGCTCCCCCCAAAATACTTGGGGACACTAAAGCCATGCTTAAAAAATGTATTGTTGTTGGATTATGTAACAAAATATCAAATTAAGTTAAAAATGTATGTTTAGCATGCACTAACATACATTATCATTCAAAAGTTTGGAATTTTTGCGAGAAGTCTCAAGGCTGCATTTATTTGATTAAAAGTACAGTAAAAAGTGTTACATTGTAAAATACTATTACATTACATTTTAAAATAATTGTTTTCTGTTGAATATATTTTAATTTATTCCTGTGCTGCCAAATTTTATACAGTCTTCAGTGTCACGTGATCCTTCAGAAGTCATTATAATATGTTTGATGCTCAGGAAACAGATTTGCTGCTTAATATTTTTGTATAAACCATAATTATTATTTTTGTCAGGATTCTTGCATGAAAAGAACATTCAAAATAACTGCATTTATTCAAAATAAATCTTTTGTTAAAAAATGTCACTTTTGATTTCAATCAATTAAATTTTTTTTTTTAATAAGTTAATGTATTTGGATTTTTTCAGTCTTCAATGGATTATGAGAAAAGTTCTAGTATCAGTTGTTTGTAGATGCTACTTGATTTGATATTTTATTATCTAATGCAGTTAAAACTTTGGTGTCCAAATAAAAACAAATACACTGCAAACAAAAAAAACAACAATACTGTGCTCTACAAGTGCTCTATACTATGGAAAAAAAATGAACAGAAACAAGTTGTATGCGTGTGAAATGGTCTGATTGCTTAGTGTTTCTGTTCTCTTTTTACGTGTAGTGGTGTTGGTGTGTCTCTGCCAAATTTTATACAGTCTTCAGTGTCACGTGATCCTTCAGAAGTCATTATAATATGTTTGATGCTCAGGAAACAGATTTGCTGCTTAATATTTTTGTATAAACCATAATTATTATTTTTGTCAGGATTCTTGCATGAAAAGAACATTCAAAATAACTGCATTTATTCAAAATAAATCTTTTGTTAAAAAATGTCACTTTTGATTTCAATCAATTAAATTTTTTTTTTTAATAAGTTAATGTATTTGGATTTTTTCAGTCTTCAATGGATTATGAGAAAAGTTCTAGTATCAGTTGTTTGTAGATGCTACTTGATTTGATATTTTATTATCTAATGCAGTTAAAACTTTGGTGTCCAAATAAAAACAAATACACTGCAAACAAAAAAAACAACAATACTGTGCTCTACAAGTGCTCTATACTATGGAAAAAAAATGAACAGAAACAAAGCAAAAAGGAACTTTGTAACCACAAGTTGTATGCGTGTGAAATGGTCTGATTGCTTAGTGTTTCTGTTCTCTTTTTACATGTAGTGGTGTTGGTGTGTCTGCTACGGTATGCTCAGATCATTGAGCACAGGAACCACTGTTGGCTCAACACCAGTGGACTTGTGTCTGGATGCACCAATGCGGTGGGACTGGTCATGGTGGGCAACTTCCAGGTCAGTCACGCAATTCTGCCTAAACACTGATCCGTGTATGATTATCATCTGATAAACACATTTAGTTTCAGAGTAGATTGACCCGCTCACCATTCACATCACTGAAACCAAAAATGGTAACAAGCATTTAGGCATCTGTTAGTGCTGTATGAGAAGATATTAAGGGCTGATTCTTCACCCTTAGTCTTATCATGGGCCTTAAATTCAGTGCATCAGACTGATGCGTTGATCAGCATCAGAGTGTTTCAGAGAGGGTGATGTTCTCAAAGTGATTAGTATTGATCCATACATGCAGCCATCTCATTCTTCAAAATGGATTTTAGGGGGCATTTTACTCGCTCATCTTTAATAGCACCTTCCATCCGTATACTGAGTGCGCAATAAGCAAATTTCTTGTTGCAGCTAGACAAAGTTGACAATTTTTTTTAGTGCACTTTGTCCAGGATAGATGTCATACAAGTGTGTCTCTCATCATGTTTCAATGGTCTTGGTCTTTTATTTAAATGCTTTGATTTATTATTACTTGAATAACACCGTACTGTACTGCTTTTCGACTAGGTGGACCATGCTAAAACCCTTCACTATGTAGGTGCGGGTGCTGCCTTCCCAGCAGGCATTCTGTTCGTGTGTTTGCAGTGTTTGCTGACCTACCGGGTGGCTGTCACCGCTCTGGACTACTGGATGGCTCATGTGCGTGTGGCACTGGCTACTGGTGCTCTCATCACACTGGTTCTCAGTATCCTTCCTTATTGAATATGGCTGGAAAATGATGAATAAGTGTGTGTTGCAAATTTTTCTTGACATGGGTTGCTTATTTGTCTTGGCTGTTTAGACCATATTACCTGTTTGCACATCATGAACTATTGCAATTTAAAGTGCCCCTATTATGCCGTTTTTAAGGTTGCTAATATTGTTTTATGAGGCTCCTAAAACAGGTTTACATGCCTGCAAGTTCAAAAAACACGTTAGTTTTCTCAAAAAATAGATTTAATTTTACCTCATTTCTAAATGATTCGTAAAAGACTCGTGCGAAGCAGTTCAAAGAATCAGTCTCTCTAAACCCCTCCTTTCTGTGAGCCCTCACTGCTGTGATTGGTCAGATGGCGCAGTCCTTTGTGATTGGTCCAGAGCCGTAGAGAGATTGCCTCTGGATTGGTCTACCCTGTACAGTACGTGTCGGAAACGAAACGCCCATTGCCATGATGGAATGACAGCCCTGGAGACTTGTCAATACATAGAAAAGATGGTATCGATTGTACCTTACCAATTCAAGCCTGAGTCTGATGATGAAACGGTTGAACTGGCAGATCAACAAGAGACTGATTCGCAAGCACGACTGGAGCAGGACGTTTCTCAGTGGTAAGTGTCAAGTGTTAACAAGTTTGTGGTAATTATAAGATGTGATAAAACAAAGTTACTCTCACAGCATAGGATACAGCGTCTTCTCGACATGATGTTTACCACACGAAAATGTTTCTGTTTGTGGGCGGGCAAGTTGGCGACGTAGAACATGGGCAGACATGCAAATGTATTACTTCGTGACGTAGAGCCATAACGCAATAAGATTTGAATTCCTGATGACTCGTTTAGGTGATTGCGAGCCCACTCTTTTTTTTTTTGATAGACAATAACTTTATTTATCGTGCACTGTCGGCTTCACAACTTTGCAGATAGTTTGTTCACATACAGCTACATGACACACTGCATGAAAGGTAATATTCGAAAAGGCATAATAGGGGCACTTTAATAATAATAATGTTCACCCAAAATGAAAATTTCTTCATCCTCATGTCATACGAATGACATACTATCTTCTGAGAAATTGTACTGGTTGCTCTATTCCATGCAATGAGTCTCCCTTTAGGCTTTTAAAGGGCTACTTCACCAACATACTCACCCACATGTCGTTCTAAACCTCTGTGACTTTCTTTCTCTTGTGGAACATAGAAGATATTTTGAGAAATTGCTCTGTTTTTTTTTTTTTTGGTCCATATAATAGTTTGGCTATCAACATTCTTCAAAATATCATCTTTTGTATTCCGCAGATGAAAGAAAGAATAGTTTGGAATAGTGTGGGTGAGTAAATGATGATACAATTTTCAGTTTTGATGATCTATTCCTTTAAGCTTCAAGAAGGACACAAAAGCATCATGAAGGTGTCCTAAAAGTGGTCTATTTGACTTGTCAACTCAAGTCACCTTTATTTATATAGCGCTTTATACAATAGAGGTTGTGTCAAAGCAGATTTACAGTGTCAAACAGGAAAATAGTTTGCAAATAATGCAAGAGGACAATAACAAAACTTTTCAATTTTTCAGTTAGTTCATTGTTGATTCAGTGATGTCATCATCAAGTTCAGCTCTCTTCCAATAGTGTTGTGCAATCAAGCTGACAGTATTGCCAGAAATTAAGCGTCCCCAACTAAGCAAGCCAAAGGCGACAGTGGAAAGGAACCAAAACTCTATCAGTGCCAGAAATGGAGAAAAAACCTTGGGAGAGACCAGGCTCAGTTGGGGGGCCAGTTCTCCTCTGATGATGTGTTTTAATTCCAGGCTGCAACACAAGTCAGATTGTGCAGAGGACTTGTCTGGTTCCCATGGTGTTGTCCCGATGGCCGTCTAGTTGACGAGGTCTTTGCGAGGGATTTATCTCTAGGGCTTATCTAGTTGACATGGTCTCTGCTGACATTTAGGGCTGTAGAGGTCGTCTGAGAGGTGCTGATCCACCATCTGGTCTGGAAACGGACTGGGTCCGGGTGGCTACGGTGATCTCAGAATAAGAATGAAACGGACTAATATTTGCGTAGATGCTATTCTCCTTACGATGTAACCAGTTCATCGGGTGTTATGGGAAGTGTTCCCGGTTCCGGTTGACGTAATTAATGCAGCCTAACAATCATTTAACGGATTTGTATTATAGAAATGTGATAGTGTATTATGTTTATGCCAGGTTAAAGAGATGGGTCTTTAATCTATATTTAAACTGACAGAGTGTGTCTGCCTCCCGAGCAACACTAGGTAGATTGTTCCAGAGTTTGGGCGCTAAATAGGAAAAGGCACTTTGGATGGGATAAATGCAGAGCACTGTACATACATGTCACGTACATATAAAATTGCAAGTATATAGTGTTGTTTTGCTGTGTCCTCAGATATGCTATGGCTGTAATGAACCACCATGTTTGTCCTGTTGAAAACTGGTAAGTTGGGCTTGTTTCACTCAGTTTATTTAAAACCATATGATGTTTATGTAATTTGATAGTCAACTCTATTATTTTAAAGGTCGTACAATGTGACATGCACAGAGGAAACAGCCAAGCCGGGCTTCCCAAAAACATGCTGCACCATTCAAGACATCCCCCTCATCAGGTAGTCATATACACCTTTATTTTGAGCTCTTCCTCTTTAGTTTGAGTCTGTTTATTTCCAGTATGATCTGACAATGTCTTTGTCTAAACTTTGATTCAGTAAGTGTGGATCTTACCCTCCCGAGAGCTGTCTTTTCAGTCTCGTTGGTAATGTGGGAGCTTTCATGGGTAAGACTGCTTGTTCTCATATTTCCACATATTCTACACCAGCATTGACATATCGAATAACAGAGAAGAAAAGCATGAATGGAAGCATTCAGAGTGGCAGAAGTGTTGCAGAAACAGATACCTGCATGAGACTTACAGACATGCTACTTATTGCGTCATCTATATTGGATGTTTTCCTGTGTTGCTTCATTACGTGTTGTGTTATGAGTGAGCTGATATGTTGCGATTACGTGATTAGGGGTTTGATTGTCCTGGTCTTGTTGAAGGTTGGCTGTCATCTGCTTCTATTTGTGTTGTGATGTGAAATCAGGGGTGTGTTATTACACACTTTTACACACCATAACTTAAAAAATAAATCTTATAAATGAAAAAATAAAAACCATAAGATTTGTGTGGGCAAATACAGCTAAAAAGTAATATATAATGAATATACTGTGGCTCCCCCCAAAATACTTGGGGACACTAAAGCCATGCTTAAAAAATGTATTGTTGTTGGATTATGTAACAAAATATCAAATTAAGTTAAAAATGTATGTTTAGCATGCACTAACATACATTATCATTCAAAAGTTTGGAATTTTTGCGAGAAGTCTCAAGGCTGCATTTATTTGATTAAAAGTACAGTAAAAAGTGTTACATTGTAAAATACTATTACATTACATTTTAAAATAATTGTTTTCTGTTGAATATATTTTAATTTATTCCTGTGCTGCCAAATTTTATACAGTCTTCAGTGTCACGTGATCCTTCAGAAGTCATTATAATATGTTTGATGCTCAGGAAACAGATTTGCTGCTTAATATTTTTGTATAAACCATAATTATTATTTTTGTCAGGATTCTTGCATGAAAAGAACATTCAAAATAACTGCATTTATTCAAAATAAATCTTTTGTTAAAAAATGTCACTTTTGATTTCAATCAATTAAATTTTTTTTTTTAATAAGTTAATGTATTTGGATTTTTTCAGTCTTCAATGGATTATGAGAAAAGTTCTAGTATCAGTTGTTTGTAGATGCTACTTGATTTGATATTTTATTATCTAATGCAGTTAAAACTTTGGTGTCCAAATAAAAACAAATACACTGCAAACAAAAAAAACAACAATACTGTGCTCTACAAGTGCTCTATACTATGGAAAAAAAATGAACAGAAACAAAGCAAAAAGGAACTTTGTAACCACAAGTTGTATGCGTGTGAAATGGTCTGATTGCTTAGTGTTTCTGTTCTCTTTTTACATGTAGTGGTGTTGGTGTGTCTGCTACGGTATGCTCAGATCATTGAGCACAGGAACCACTGTTGGCTCAACACCAGTGGACTTGTGTCTGGATGCACCAATGCGGTGGGACTGGTCATGGTGGGCAACTTCCAGGTCAGTCACGCAATTCTGCCTAAACACTGATCCGTGTATGATTATCATCTGATAAACACATTTAGTTTCAGAGTAGATTGACCCGCTCACCATTCACATCACTGAAACCAAAAATGGTAACAAGCATTTAGGCATCTGTTAGTGCTGTATGAGAAGATATTAAGGGCTGATTCTTCACCCTTAGTCTTATCATGGGCCTTAAATTCAGTGCATCAGACTGATGCGTTGATCAGCATCAGAGTGTTTCAGAGAGGGTGATGTTCTCAAAGTGATTAGTATTGATCCATACATGCAGCCATCTCATTCTTCAAAATGGATTTTAGGGGGCATTTTACTCGCTCATCTTTAATAGCACCTTCCATCCGTATACTGAGTGCGCAATAAGCAAATTTCTTGTTGCAGCTAGACAAAGTTGACAATTTTTTTTAGTGCACTTTGTCCAGGATAGATGTCATACAAGTGTGTCTCTCATCATGTTTCAATGGTCTTGGTCTTTTATTTAAATGCTTTGATTTATTATTACTTGAATAACACCGTACTGTACTGCTTTTCGACTAGGTGGACCATGCTAAAACCCTTCACTATGTAGGTGCGGGTGCTGCCTTCCCAGCAGGCATTCTGTTCGTGTGTTTGCAGTGTTTGCTGACCTACCGGGTGGCTGTCACCGCTCTGGACTACTGGATGGCTCATGTGCGTGTGGCACTGGCTACTGGTGCTCTCATCACACTGGTTCTCAGTATCCTTCCTTATTGAATATGGCTGGAAAATGATGAATAAGTGTGTGTTGCAAATTTTTCTTGACATGGGTTGCTTATTTGTCTTGGCTGTTTAGACCATATTACCTGTTTGCACATCATGAACTATTGCAATTTAAAGTGCCCCTATTATGCCGTTTTTAAGGTTGCTAATATTGTTTTATGAGTCTCCTAAAACAGGTTTACATGCCTGCAAGTTCAAAAAACACGTTAGTTTTCTCAAAAAATAGATTTAATTTTACCTCATTTCTAAATGATTCGTAAAAGACTCGTGCGAAGCAGTTCAAAGAATCAGTCTCTCTAAACCCCTCCTTTCTGTGAGCCCTCACTGCTGTGATTGGTCAGATGGCGCAGTCCTTTGTGATTGGTCCAGAGCCGTAGAGAGATTGCCTCTGGATTGGTCTACCCTGTACAGTACGTGTCGGAAACGAAACGCCCATTGCCATGATGGAATGACAGCCCTGGAGACTTGTCAATACATAGAAAAGATGGTATCGATTGTACCTTACCAATTCAAGCCTGAGTCTGATGATGAAACGGTTGAACTGGCAGATCAACAAGAGACTGATTCGCAAGCACGACTGGAGCAGGACGTTTCTCAGTGGTAAGTGTCAAGTGTTAACAAGTTTGTGGTAATTATAAGATGTGATAAAACAAAGTTACTCTCACAGCATAGGATACAGCGTCTTCTCGACATGATGTTTACCACACGAAAATGTTTCTGTTTGTGGGCGGGCAAGTTGGCGACGTAGAACATGGGCAGACATGCAAATGTATTACTTCGTGACGTAGAGCCATAACGCAATAAGATTTGAATTCCTGATGACTCGTTTAGGTGATTGCGAGCCCACTCTTTTTTTTTTTGATAGACAATAACTTTATTTATCGTGCACTGTCGGCTTCACAACTTTGCAGATAGTTTGTTCACATACAGCTACATGACACACTGCATGAAAGGTAATATTCGAAAAGGCATAATAGGGGCACTTTAATAATAATAATGTTCACCCAAAATGAAAATTTCTTCATCCTCATGTCATACGAATGACATACTATCTTCTGAGAAATTGTACTGGTTGCTCTATTCCATGCAATGAGTCTCCCTTTAGGCTTTTAAAGGGCTACTTCACCAACATACTCACCCACATGTCGTTCTAAACCTCTGTGACTTTCTTTCTCTTGTGGAACATAGAAGATATTTTGAGAAATTGCTCTGTTTTTTTTTTTTTGGTCCATATAATAGTTTGGCTATCAACATTCTTCAAAATATCATCTTTTGTATTCCGCAGATGAAAGAAAGAATAGTTTGGAATAGTGTGGGTGAGTAAATGATGATACAATTTTCAGTTTTGATGATCTATTCCTTTAAGCTTCAAGAAGGACACAAAAGCATCATGAAGGTGTCCTAAAAGTGGTCTATTTGACTTGTCAACTCAAGTCACCTTTATTTATATAGCGCTTTATACAATAGAGGTTGTGTCAAAGCAGATTTACAGTGTCAAACAGGAAAATAGTTTGCAAATAATGCAAGAGGACAATAACAAAACTTTTCAATTTTTCAGTTAGTTCATTGTTGATTCAGTGATGTCATCATCAAGTTCAGCTCTCTTCCAATAGTGTTGTGCAATCAAGCTGACAGTATTGCCAGAAATTAAGCGTCCCCAACTAAGCAAGCCAAAGGCGACAGTGGAAAGGAACCAAAACTCTATCAGTGCCAGAAATGGAGAAAAAACCTTGGGAGAGACCAGGCTCAGTTGGGGGGCCAGTTCTCCTCTGATGATGTGTTTTAATTCCAGGCTGCAACACAAGTCAGATTGTGCAGAGGACTTGTCTGGTTCCCATGGTGTTGTCCCGATGGCCGTCTAGTTGACGAGGTCTTTGCGAGGGATTTATCTCTAGGGCTTATCTAGTTGACATGGTCTCTGCTGACATTTAGGGCTGTAGAGGTCGTCTGAGAGGTGCTGATCCACCATCTGGTCTGGAAACGGACTGGGTCCGGGTGGCTACGGTGATCTCAGAATAAGAATGAAACGGACTAATATTTGCGTAGATGCTATTCTCCTTACGATGTAACCAGTTCATCGGGTGTTATGGGAAGTGTTCCCGGTTCCGGTTGACGTAATTAATGCAGCCTAACAATCATTTAACGGATTTGTATTATAGAAATGTGATAGTGTATTATGTTTATGCCAGGTTAAAGAGATGGGTCTTTAATCTATATTTAAACTGACAGAGTGTGTCTGCCTCCCGAGCAACACTAGGTAGATTGTTCCAGAGTTTGGGCGCTAAATAGGAAAAGGATCTGCCGCCCGGAGTTGATTTTGATATTCTAGGTATTATCAAATGGCAAGAGTTTTGAGATTGCAGTAGACGTGAAGGACAATTATGCGGTATGAGCTCGCTCAAGTACTGAGGAGCTAAACCATTCAGTGCTTTATAAGTAATTGCCAAGATTTTAAAATGTATACGATGTTCAATAGGGAGCCAGTTCAGAGTTGACAGAACCGGGCTAACATGGATTTAATTCCTGTAATGTAATGTATTTTGGACCAGCTGGAGTTTGTTTATTAAGCGAGCAGAACAACCACCCAATAAAGCATTGCAATAATCTAACCTTGAGGTCAGGAATGCATTCACTGCTACAAATTGATGATGGTCGGGTAAGTAAGATTTGAACCATGCCAATGCAATTCCACTAATGCCAACATAATTTTGTACTCTACTCAAAAGAATGTTGTGGTCGATAGTGTCAAACGCAGTCTCCAAGATCCAGTAGCACTAATAGAGAGATACAACCATGATCGGATGATAAGAGCAGGTCATTTGTAACTCTGATGAGAGCAGTCTCAGTACTATTATACGGTCTAAATCCTGACTGGAAATCCTCACAGATACCATTTCTCTCTAAGAAGGAACATAGTTGTGAGGATACTGCCTTTTTTAGTATCTTTGACAGAAAAGGAAAATTTGCGATCGGTCTGTAATTAACTAATTCTCTAGGATCAAGTTGTGGTTTTTTTAATGAGCGGCCTAATAACAGCCGGTTTGAAGGATTTAGGGACATATCCTAATGGCACTGACAAATTAATAATATTCAGAAGAGGATCTATGACTTCTGGAAGCAACTCTTTTAGTAGCTTAGATGGTATTGGATCTAACATACATTTTGTTGATTTGACAAGTTTATACAATTCTTCCTGTCCTATAGCAGAGAATGAGTGGAATTGTTCCTCAGGGGATCTATAGTGCACTGTCTGATGCAACACTGTAGCTGATGGCTGCATGGTTAGAATTTTATCTCTAATAGTATCGATCATGGAAGTAAAGAAGTTCATAAAGACATTACTGCTGTGCTGTTTAGAAATGTCTGCCCCTGTTGATGCTTTATTTTTCGTTAATTTAGACACTGTATTGAATAAATCCCTTGAGTTGTGTTTGTTTTTTTCTAAAAGAGATGAAAAGTAAGCAGATCTAACCATTTTTAGAGCTTTTCTATAAGTAGAAGTACTTTCCCTCCATGCAATATGAAATACCTCTAGTTTTGTTTCTTCCAGCTGCTCTCTTTTTTCCGGCCTCGTTGTGTGCTCGTTATACCACGGTCTCAGTCTGTTTTCCTTAGTCGTCTTTGTGTAAAGAAGCAACCGTATCCAAAGTGTTAGAAAAGAGAGTCCATAGTTTCTGTTACAACATCAAGTTTTTCTGAGATATTGGATTTGCTGAGGAATTGAGACAAGTCAGGATGATTATTTACAAAGCAGAAGTGATGGTTCTACCATATTTGTAACAAGGAGTTGAGTTTGCAGCTTTAGCTATATGGAGTATATACGAGACTAGATAATGATCCTAGATATCATCACTCCGCTGCAGAATTTAAATGCAATTAACATCAATTCCATGTGACATTATTAAATCTAAAGTATGAGTACGACAATGAGTAGACACGTGTCCTGACACGTGTTGTCTGACCCCAGTAGAGTTCAGAATGTCTATAAATGTCTTTTTCATTATCAAAACATGGATAATGAAATCACCAAGAATTAAGACTTTATCTTCTGCCAGTACTAACTCAGTTAGAAAATCAGCAAATTCTTTGATAAAGTCTGTATGGTGGCTTGTATACAGTAGCCAGTACAAACTAGGGGTGCAACTGTTCTCGGTAAAAAATAGAATCGTACCGTTCTCCACACACGGTTCGACATACACTAGGACCGCGGTTCAACTTAAATCTGACAATGCATCTGTAATATGGTGTGTTAGAGTTTGGCTAATGCATGTTTCTGTTGATGGATACAAATTCTGGCTTCGCAATACATTACAACAAGAGCGATGAGAGAGAAAAAAAACAATACGTGGACAAACCAGTCACTCTTCAATCAATGCGATTGCTGTATGCTGGAATAACTGTCATTTATGCTGTCATCACGTGTTGATAGCGCAGGTGAGACCTGAACAGGACACATTGCTATCTGTGTTTAAACTAAACTCATTTAAGCCTTGCCAGTTTAAATATTAAAGAGCCAGAAGATGTGAACTAGCACGCGCAGTGAGAAGATCTGTGTGGTCGCTCATCCAAAGCCGTGAACCCAGAACTCAGAACACGCGCAAATATTAAGCTCTCTGTGAATTATTGTGTTTGAATGGACAAATTCACACAAAAATGGTCAAAATGCCCATCTTGGTGAGTATCCTAGCAGACATAGTCGGCTGAACATACAGTATCAGTGCACTGGATCAGTGCGTTCTCTTAAAGTGACAGCACTTTCTTAATGTTAATCAAACAGCAACAACACGGAAATCTCATTGCTCTTGATTGAATAACTTTTGTAACCTTAATAAGGATTCATCTTTAATTTATACAGTCAAATATGCAATGTTATTTTACATTTGATTTATTCAATTTCTGTACCTAAAAACTATGTTAGACCTACCTAACAAAACTGAAAAGCACTGTTTATTTTATTTGTATCTTTTTTCACAGTTTATTTATTTGTGCTGTTGCTTGTAGTTAGATTATTTGTTCTTATTTTCTTTATTGTTATTTGACAATATAGTTTTTCCCTAAACATAGCACATACCGAACCGTGCCGAAACCGTGACTCTAAAACCATG